ACCCCGTCTTTCGTGGGTCTCCCCTTTACCCTGCGTCCCGCTCAAGTTCAATGGAGTGAGTCAGTACTGTGCTGCTCACCCCACGTGTGCTGTCCCTTCACTCAAGCAGAGCCTAAGCTGCTGGTGGGCAGGGTCTCTCTCCCCTGCACCCCTTTGTGCCCCAGAGAAAACAGTTGGGCTACAGAGAACCGTGGTGCAGAACACCTGGCCTCATTACCCTTGCTCCTCAATCCTACCCCAGGGCATTCTTCACTCTCACCAAGAGCACCACTCCAGGGCCCCGAAATCAGAACCCTCTCCCAGCTGATGAGGAAATCATCATGCCGTGGTGGCAGACTCCAGGGAGACTGCCTACAAGATTCATAAAAGCAAGGATGCCTCTGATTCCCAAAGGAGGAACCATCTTTGCTGTTTCTTGATGCCCTTTGCCACTGTAGCCAGGAACACATTCATCTTTTTAAAAAATTTTATTCCTCACCTGAGGACATTTTTCTATTTCTCATCAGATAGCGTGGGAGGGAGGGAGAGAGACAGAGAGAAACATTGATGTGATAGAGCCACATCGACTGGTTGCCTCTGCATGACCTGACCAGGGGAGGAACTGCAACAAAGGTTCGTGCCCTTGACCAGAATCGAACCCACAACTCATTGGCCCGAGGGCCAATGCTCTAACCACTGAGAAAAACTGGCCAGGGCCACATTCGTCTTTTACTTATTTATTTTTTATCCTCACCCGAGGACATTTTTCCATTTTTTGTTCAGATAGAGCGGGAGGGAGAGAGAGGAAGAGAGAGAGAGAGAGAAACATCGATGTGAAGGGACACATCGAGTGGCTGCCACCCTCACGACCAACCAGGGCCAGGGACAAACTGCAACCGAGGTACGTGCCCTTAGCGGGAACCGAACCCGGGTCTCTCAGGACCGCAGGTCGACGCTCTAACCGCTGAGCCAAACCGGCCAGGGCCACATTCGTCTTTTATATGCTCCTTCTGAGGACAATGGTCAGCTTTTTTTTTTTTTCCTGCCATAAACGTATTTCTGCTCATCAATTCCCAACAATGTGTGTGCTGTGCACTGTTTAGATAACAAGAGGTTTGTTGGAGTTTGGGGATAGAGTGATAAGACAATCTATGCTCTACCAGGTCAACAAAAGTAATGTTGGTGTTTTCCATTGACATGACCTACATAGTAATATATATATATTTTTTTGGTACGTGCCCCTAGCGGGAACTGAACCTGGGACTCTCTGGTCCGCAGGCTGACGCTCCAACCACTGGGCCAAACTGGCCAGGGCTACATAGTAATATTTAAAAGATAATCCTCTAGCAAATGAAATATTTATATTGTACGGCAATATACATATCCTGTAAATTCTTGTTTTGACAGTTTTTACATTGAGTTAAACATTTTCTAGAAAAATATTTTTTCAGAAACTATTAAGAATAATTATGTTGCCCTGGCCGGTTTGGCTCAGCAGCTAGAGCATTGGCCTGCAGACCAGAGAGTCCCGGGTTCGGTTCCCGCTAAGGGCACGTACCTCGGTTGCAGTTCATCCCCGGCCCCGGCTGGGGTTGTGTGGGTGGCAGCCACTCGATGTGTTTCTCTCACAGCAATGTTTCTCTCTCTTCCTCCCTCTCTATCTGAAGATAAATGCAAAAATGTCCTTTGGTGAAGATTAGAAAAAAAAAGAATAATTATGTTGAGCCCTGGCCAGTTTTGCTTAGTGGTTAGAGCGTTGGCCTGCAGAACAGAAAGACCCGGGTTTGGTTCCCGCTAAGGGCATGTACCTTGGTTGCAGTTTGTCCCCAGCCCTGGTTGGGGTTGTGTGGGTGGCAGCCAGTCAATGTGTCTCTCTCACATAGATGTTTCTCTCTCTCTTCCTCCCTCTCTCACTCCCACTCTATCTGAAGATAATGCAAAAATGTCCTTGGGTAAAGATTAAAAAAAAAAAAGAATTATGTTAAGACTTCTCACAGATTTAATATTGCACCCTCTGGAGGTGTAGCCTTCTATTATCCACACCACTGTACTCTTTGTGAAGGACAGACACAATACATGTGTGTTTCTAAACTGTTTTCTGATCACTGCTGAACACTTCTCCCACTTACACATCATACTATTTTCGTGTAAGAAAACTAGCACAGCTGGGTCCATGTGGGCTTTATTCATTTGACAAACAGAGGAAAATCTGCAACCATCAATCAAGATAATATCTTACCAGGAATTTGAAAGGTATTTTTAAAAGATGCACTCCCAAGCTGTCTGAGTCATGTACAATGCAGTGTCTGCAGAAGCAAAAGCCAGACAATAAACATGTGAGAGTAAAGGGTCCCGCTGAACGCACGTCCCAGCCCTTCCAATCGCACAGGCAACAGAAGTCCTGTACTCACTCCTCCAGACAGTTGTGTTTGAAGCTGCCCTCTTGCAACAATTGTTTGTAAAAAAAAAAAAGCTTTCTGGGAAATCTGCCCTGCAACACAGATCAGACTGAAGTGCTAACATCACATTCCAGGGTCCAGGGGGACCCAACTACTTCCTCAGAGCAATGTTGCAGCTGCTCGAGGCCCTGGGAAATGGCTGACATTCAAGAGAGGGTTCGCTGCAGCTCCAGGCTGATTTAAATACAAATAAGAGGTGTTTCCTGCTGGAGGGGAGGGCTGTTAGATGATGCCATCCAGCTGATGTGGGGTGTGAGCACGACAGCCTTGTTGGTACACTCTGCGCAGCAGTTTCAGTGGGTTGTGAAGAGCCGAAACCATTGCTTTTCACCTCCTGTGTTCTGGGAATGTAAAACAGGAGAGATCACAAGGATCACTTCTGGGCTCAAACTTATCATGGTGATATTTTTTCTTCCCAGGGCAAAACCAAAAGTCCAGTTTTCTTTTTTTTTTTTTTTTATCCTCACCCGAGGACATTTTTCCATTTTTTGTTCAGGTAGAGTAGGAGGGGGAGAGAGGAACAGAGAGAGAGAGAAACATCGACGTGAAGGGACACATCGAGTGGCTGCCACCCGCACGACTGACCAGAGCCGGGGACAAACTGCAACTGAGGTACATGCCCTGAGCGGGAACCGAACCCGGGTCTCTCGGGACCACAGGCCGACACTCTAACTGCTGAGCCAAACCGGCCAGGGCCAAAAGTCCAGTTTTCAAGTTTCTTCCCAAACTCAACATTCAGGATACCCTTGGAGGTAAGGAGTACAGTGGGTCAACGATTCTTTATAATAGACTATCCAAAAGCAAATTTAGAACCCAGAGAGTGTGGCTCAATTGGTTGAGTGTCATCCCATGCACCTAAAGGTTGCCAGTTGGATTCCCAGTCAGGGCACATGCCCAGGTTGTGGGATCGATCCCCAGGAAGGGGTATGCAGGAGGCAGCCAATTGATGTTTCTCATCAATGTTTCTCTCTCTCTCTCCCTCTCTCTGAAATCAATACAAACATGTTAAAAACAAAAACAAAAAACACAAAAGCAAATTTAGAGAAAAAGGAGTACTTTACTGAAAGGATGTGTTTCTGGGAAGAATCAAGTCACCTTTGTAACATCAATTTTATAAGCCCTTAATAACAGTAACTGTGAAAGGGGTTGACAAGTACCCAACATTTTAGAAGTTAAAGATGGCATATACCAGAAAACAAGACTACAGCTTTATTCTGAGGATAGATCTGATTCATCTTTACATCTTTAGACTCCAGCACCATGGAAAGAGATTGAACAAATCTTTTCATAGTGGTGTTGATTTTTCCTTCAAGGCAAATGGGGAAATATGCAAGGCTGGGCACGGGGATCCGGCTCAGAGGCTTCCTTGAGATGCCTGATCCTGGAGGACCTTATGTGGTAGCTTAACTTCTGTCTTACATTCTACAAACTATGAACAAGAAGACATATGTTAGGTGTTTAGAGGCCAAGTGAGGGCAAGTAGTAAACACATTATTTGTTCAAGCAACTGTTAATGAAGGAAGGGTTCTAAAAACCCAGGGAAGCCCTGGCCAGTTTGGTTCAGCGGTTAGAGCCTCGGCCTGCGGTCCTGAGAGACCCGGGTTCGGTTCCCGCTAAGGGCATGTACCTCGGTTGCAGTTTGTCCCCGACCCTGGTTGGTTGTGCGGGTGGCAGCCACTCGATGTTCCTTTCACATCGATGTTTCTCTCTCTCTCTCTCTGTTCCTCTCTCTCCCTCCCACTCTACCTGAACAAAAAATGGAAAAATGTCCTCGGGTGAGGATAAAAAAATAAAAATGAAAAATAAATAAAAATAAAAAATAAAAACCCAGGGAAACTTTTAGAAATGGGATCTGGGAGTTTAAAAGAAAAAAATATCACCTGTTTACTTGCTTCTTCTATAGTGAAATCAATCATTTGCTCACTTATGAATGTTTCAAGTTGTTTACAAAGCTTCTCTTTTTCTGATCAAGAAACTTAGTCATTTATAGTGAGAGTTGTGATCCAAAGACCACACACTAACCTGGGAATCAAAAACAGGAATGTGAGCTCTTCCTCTTTGAAAAAACTTGACAAATCTTCCAAATATGGTTGATACTTCCAGAGGCTAGTTGGTAGCACCATTCTGTATATACTTTTTATTGTCTCAGCCAGTCAGACCCAGACATCAGTGGCCACTTTTTCCTTAGCTTTCCTTCCTTTCAGTGAGCGGGTGGCTTGGCTGCTCATGCTTTATCCTTTGTGTTGCTGGCTCCACAGCCACCGTGGGCCCAGGAGGGCGCGTCCTCAGTGAATTGGTACTGTTCTCTCTAGTGACAATTTATTATTTTTTTATCCTCACCCGAGGGCATTTTCCATTTTTTGTTCAGATAGAGTAGGAGGTAGAGAGAGGAAAAGAGAGAGAGAAACATCGACGTGAAAAGGAACATCGAGTGGCTGCCACCCACACGACCCAACCAGGGCCGGGGACAAACTGCAACCGAGGTACGTGCCCTTAGTGGGAACCGAACCCGGGTCTCTCTGGACCACAGGCCGATGCTCTAACCGCTGAGCCAAACCGGCCAGAGTGTGACAATTTATTTTTCATGGTGGAAGACTAGCACTTTGATACTTCAAAAATGACTGAATTGATTTCAAAAAGATGTAAAGAAAAAGTTCTGCATCTGAGATTGATTAAAAGGGTAAGATGTGTTCTCTCTATGCTGAAATATGGGTCCATCTTGTAGAAAGTGACAGATTTATTGCAATCTTTCTACACAGGACAGTAACACACGGGGTAGATTTAAACACACATGCACACACCACATATCTGAACCCTCGTGCAGATAAACTGCTCTAGATCAGGGCTCCCTCAAGATGGCTTCAAATCACAGATTGATGTCCAGGTGGCTTTGTTGTAGCTGTTGAATAGTATGTCTTTCTAGAACACCCACAACACTGCCACATGTCTGAGGGAAAAAATAGAATCTTGAAAAAAAGGGGCTAAACAAACAAAGAAAAAAACAGATGAAAGGATCTATTACTCTCAGCCGCCCTTTCTTTGCACAGCTGATTTTCCCTGCAGTCCTCAACTGCCTAATATGAGCCAGTTTTCACTTATACTCAGGTAAGTACCAGCACACTGCTCCTAAAGTTAGTTTCTAAGAAATACTCCATGACAGAAAACAAATATTCTAAACTGCAAAGAGCACCAATCCCAAAGTAGATCATATAGGCTGAGAGAAGGCTGCAGGAGAAAGAGGAAAAGCTGGTCGTCCTTCAGCCACATGGGGAAACTACGTTCCTCACAAATGCTTAGTCTGATCACTATGGCTCAGGGTCGTCTGGGGTAAAAGAAGGGCTGTGCCCTGGCAAAGCTTCATCTGGAGGTGCCATGTGCCCACGGGCGATGGCTCTGTTGTGTGCGTTGTTCAACTGAAATTCCTGGGCCTGAACCCTGCTGCCCTATTCACACAAAGATATACTGAAATGAAAGGTAAAGCAAAAGGGAAACCACAAAATGCCCACTGAGAGGCTCTGGAGGAATAACTGGGATCTCCTCCTTCACATCTGCCCACAAGACATTAGCTCATTTTGTGTCATTGGCTGTTGGAGGCTCCTTCTTTCTTCTCTTGGCACCTGGTTCTCCCCCTGGCCCTAGGTTCTTCCCGGGCTCACCAGGTGCAACAATGGCTTTCTCCAAACTCTTGCTTTGTACTGATACAACCAATTCATACCTTTATGTACCACCAGCTTTTGGCTCTTGGTTTGAATTCCAACCTACTATCAGAGACAATGGGTTGTACTAAAAAATGAAAACCCAGGACAGAAAGTGCTTCACCAACCATTTTACTCTGCTTTAACACTACTGTCTTTGGGCATACGTGGTATTTGCTATTGAAGAAATTATGACAGCGAGGCTGATAACACTGACTCATAACACATTCTTTGCACCACACACAGTAAAATCCTAGGATAACGGGATCGTCTGCTACCACAACACAGCTATCTTATTTGCTGTGTGAAATAACCACTTATGGGAGGAGAAAGGGAAGGATGGGGAACAAAGAATGCAATGAGGGCAGGGAAACCTACAAATATGCCTAAAAATCAGGAATTGGGAGATAAAACCAGAATTTATCTAAGGGTGAAAGAAAACTACTGAGTTATAGTTCCATTATTTCTAGAACTTACTGAATTTGGAACCGGAGGTTAAAAATTTTAAGATAAAGCAATCTCAAGTAAATTCATACTGGCCTTGGGAAGAAATGGCAACCATAGATGGTAATGAGTTTCAGTGCTTGAGAACAAAAATGGTCAAAATCAACTTATAAATCTGACTTGACTCAAGGTGAAAAAAAAGTCTTATTGAAAAATGATGTCTGCAGCAAAAAAAGTCTGGAAGTGAAAGTCTGAACCCCTTTCCACCTTTCCATTTTGCTGCTGGTACCTGCTCTCCTTACAGTACCTCCTGAAAAGGTTGAGAGTTCAATACAGTCTGATTAGGTTGGTTTTCAACATGTTGTTTAAGATGATGAATCCTGTTTGGTTTAAACCACTTCATTTAACCGCTTCATAATGGCAGTCCGAGAGTCTGCAGTGTTGGTAAAATTCACCTGTGACCAAGGGTCAAACTGCTGGTGGGAGCACAGCAACTTCTTGGCCCATCACTTTTCCTTGTCCTTGTCCCTAAAAGCTGGTAGTTTTTGCAACAAGGGACTCAGTCCACCACAATGACGTATTTTCAAAACCATTTTCTGTAGACACCTCCTTCCAATGCCCTATAGTTCGAATAGTCAGGAAGACGTGGAAGGAAGCTGCGAAAAGTCCAGCTTGGAATTCTTGACTTTGTTAGATGTGGACACAGGAAAATCACCTTTGTCCTTGCAAGATTTTATTATAGTCAAAGGAGAAAAATACACGGGAGTCTAATCACAAATCTGCTAAATATAAAATTGATGGAATGCTAATTGGTCCATAAAGGGTTGCACAAGATAATCTGTGGCAAAGTAAAAAACAAGCCCAAAGGTGATCGAGATTGGAAGAGCTGGCAATGCTTTCTTGAAAATGGCGAGGAGTAATAATGTAAGGCACAGACCCTGTGGGGGAGAGGGGAAAGACACAAACTCAGACATAATTATGAAAGTATTTCTTGTAAAACAACTCAATCACAAGTCTCAGACTTAATTTAGTTAATTGAATACAATCCTTTAAGGTTAAATTTTAGAACAAATGTTCCCATTAAACCCGAAAAAAACTTTTATTTTCCTTTGCCACAACACAGAATTCATTATGCACACATTCTTGTCTTGATCCCCTAATTTTAGGTAAGGAATAGAACCTGAAAATAAGTAAAACTATTTTTTTTTTTTTACCCTCATCTGAGGACATTTTTTGTTCAGATAGAGTGGGAGGGAGAGAGGAAGAGAGAGAGAGAGAAACATCGACATGAAAGGGACACATCGAGTGGCTGCCACCTGCATGACCCACCAGGGCCCGGGACAAACTGCAACCGAGGTACGTGCCTTTAGTGGGAACCGAACCCAGGTCTCTCTGGACCACAGGCCAATGCTCTAACTGCTAAGCCAAACCGGCCAGGGCAGTAAAACTATTTTTGAAAAAAGTTAAATAATACAAAAATTTCTATCTAAAATATTGAGTTGGCTATCAGTTTAGTTTGGCTGGCTAAAATCTCAGAAGTGAAAAGCATTTGGAGGAACAAAGAGGCACACAGAATATGCCAATAGCCCAGCCGGTCTGGCTTAGTGGTTGAGTGTCGACCCATGCATGCACCAAGAGGTCACTGGTTTGATTCCCGGTCAGGGCACATGCCCAGGTTGTGAGCCAAACCTCCAGTGGGGGCATGCAGGAGGTGGTCAATTGATGTTCTCTCTCATTGATGCTTCTATCTCTCTCCCTCTCTCCCTTCCTCTCTCTCTCTAAAAAAAAAAAAAAAAAAAAAAAAAAAAAAAATCAATAAAAATAATTTTAAAAAAGAATATGCCAATAAAAGTTTATAAAAAGTGCCCTGGCCAGGTGGTTCAGTTGGATGAGGGTTTGATTCCCAGTCAGGGCACATACCTATGTTTTGGGTTGATCCCAGGTCCAGGTGCATGCGGGTGGCAACCAATTGATCTCCCTTGCTCTTTCTCTAACATTAGTAAACATAGCCCTAGCTGGTGTAGTTCAGTGGTTTGAGTGTTGACTAGTGTACCAAAGGGTCTCAGGTTCAATTACTGGTCAAGGGCATGTGCCTGGATCACAGGTTCCATCCCTGGCACTGGTTGGAGCAAGTGCAGGAGGCAACCAACTGATGTGTCTCTCTCACATCATTGTTTCTCTTTCTCTATCTCCTCCCCCTCCTTCCCACTCTCTAAAAAAATCAATAAAAAAATATCCTCGGGTGAAGATTAACAAAAAATAAAAATAAAATAAAACATATCCTTGGGTGAGGACTTTTTTTTAAGTTTATAAAAATTATATTGCTGCTTTCTTGGAAACACAGAGCAGCCATATAATATATTCTATTTTTTACTCTAGTTACTGAGACACTAACTATAAATTCTGGAGGCTAAGCGTCATTTCAGGTTTATCCAGAATAAGTAATTTTCTTCTTAAAAGATACACCCAGAAAACTAACCTCAAAAGAGAAATAAAATACATGAAAATTCTAACTGGTTATATTATCGTTGTAAATCACAAATGTAATTACGAAATAAATGGAATATAAAGGCTTTCATCTAACTTTACTTGTACATGAAACATCAAAGAGATCCATCCATCTTTAGTAAAAAAAGCAGTAAGAAACATCTTATGAGTTATTTACATAAATCATATTTTTGAAAGCTTCAGAGTTCATGTTGTGGTTGTATGAGCAAAATCTACGTGAGATCAGGCACTGTTAACTTTTCTCACCTCATAACTGTTGCCCACAGGAACACTATACTGCAGCTATGGCATTAAATGCAAAAGCACCACCAAACTCAGGGACTAAGTGAGGATATACTCACCCCTTTAAAGACACAGCTAATTTCCTACATATGTATGCGGACTGAAGCAGTGGTTCCTAATCAGAATTTCCTGGGGAACTTTAAAAATAAGATATATAGCCTGGCCGGTGTGGCTCACTAATTGAGGGTTGACTCACGCACTAAGAGGTCGCCAGTTCAATTCCCAGTCAGGGCACATGCCCAGGCTGTGGGCCCGATCCCCAGTGGGAGGCATGCAGGAGGCGGCCAACTGATGTTCTCTCTCATTAATGTTTCTGACTCTCTCTCCCTTCCTATCTAAAATAAATAAAGAAAAAAATGAAAAAAAAAGATACACAATTGAAACAAAATAAATAAGAATACTTCAGGGTGGAGACACACAGTTTTTTAAGGTCTGAGGTGATTTTATTATTTATTTATTTTTTTATCCTCACCCGAGGACATTTTTTTTTTTTTTTATATTTTGTTCAGATAGAGTGGGAGGGAGAGAGAGAGAGAGAAACATCGATGTGAAAGGGACACATCGAGTGGTTGCCACCTACACAACCCAACCAGGGCCGGGGACAAACTGCAACCAAGGTACATGCCCTTAGCGGCAACCGAACCCGGGTCTCTCGGGACCGCAGGCCGATGCTCTAACTGCTGAGCCAAACCGGTCAGGGCACCGAGGTGATTTTAATGTGTGGCCAGGTGGAGAACTACTCAGGTGAGGTCTAATTATTGTGTGTTTTTTTCAAATCCTCACTCGAGGATCTTTTTCCATTTATCTTCAAATAGAGTCAGAAGAAGGGAGGGAGAGGAAAGGAGGGGGGGAGAGAGAGAGAGAGAGACACACACACACACACACACACACCCACGCATCAATGTGAGAGAGACACATTGATTGGTTGCCTCTGGCACAACTCCAACCAGGGCCAGGGACTGAACTGAAACTGAGGTATGTGTCCTCAACCAGAATCAAACCTGAGACTCTTTGGTCCTTGGGCCGACGCCCCACCTGCTGAGCCAAACCAGCCAGGGCTAATTAAAAAGCTCCCAGGTGATTGGAACATTTAGCCTGGCTGGGGTTAAAATAGGATTGCCTTAACATGACAGTATAATCAGTTTTGAGATGGTGCATTCTAACATGTTTTCATTAGTGTATACTTACAATTAATATGGCTACAAAACAGGCTATGGTTGTGTTCCAGTCTCCACTGGCTGTTGCGGAAGCTTTACCAACCAGAACACTGTAGAAAATAAAATCTCCTAATCCAAGTTTTACTCCCCCTAAAATGGAAAGATTACAAATATAAAAAGCTTGTCATTCTTTGCTATGATTTCACAATTTGCTATGATTTCACAATTCAAAAATGTCACTTCTCCACTCCACCCTAAACTAAATGAGAAATCAGTAAGTGATATCATACAAAATTAGGCTTGAGCTAGGTTTTCTCTTTTTTTTTCCCTTACTATAGAAATTTCAGATTCTGTATGGCTGACTCTGGGATCTTAACCACAGATGCTGCTGTTACATATCAAAAATAGTAATAATAATAAATAATAATTGGCATCTATTAATGTCTAGTTTATAGCTGGCACTTGTTCTAATAAATCCTCACAAAAAAACCCTATACATATCATCCCCCCTTTTTAAAATAGATTTATTGAGGTACAATTTATTTAATAAAATCCACCTATGTGTGTAAGTATAGAATTAAATGATTGTAAAAAATTTAGAGTTGTGTAACCATTTTCACAATCCCCCACATTTCCAACACTCTACCTTGTGCCTATTTAGTTAATCCCCACTCCCACTCTAGGCCATAAGCAACCACTGATCTGCTCTATCTATAAATCTACTTTTTCCTGACATTTCACAGAAATGGACTCATACATTATAAAGTATTTTGTGACTGGCTTCTTTCAGTTAACATAACGTTTTTGAGGTTTATCCATGATACTTCATGTCTATAGTTTCCTCCTTTGTACTGATAAATAATTTTCCATTGTATAAATATACAGTGTATTCTAAGTTTGCTTACCCATTTACCAGTTGATGGATTAATAGCTTGGACACTTTAATTGTAGTATTTCTCTAAAAGACTCTAACAGCATAATATGTGTCTAGCTTAAATAGCATAATAATGAATATTTCCTATTTATCTTTTAAATAAATATAAACATTAAAAACTGCCTGCAATTTATTATTTTACCTTTTTTTTTTAATCCTCACCCAAGGATATTTTTCCATTTATCTTCAGGTAGAGTGGGAGGGAGGGGGAGAGAGAAAAACATTGATGTGAGAGAGACACATCGACTGGTGGCCTCCTGCACGACCCCAACCAGGGCCGGGGATGAACCGCAACCGAGGTATGTGCCCTTGACCAGAATTGAACCTGCGACTCTTTGGTCCGCAGGCCAACACTCTAACCACTGAGCCAAACCGGCCAGGGCTCAATCTCTTCCTCTACTTGGAAAAAAAAAAAAAATCCTATGTCTCGTCTTCCTTGAGGTAACAGAAAAAGAACCTTCATGAGTCAAATTTCCACACCTGGAAACAACAGGTTAATTTCACTACTCTGGTCAATTTTAAGACCAACAGTAGTACACTTAGGATGAGCCTGCTACCTGAATGATGTTTGAGGGAAATATATTTTGAAATTTGCCAGCACAACTGCCTTCACGCTGAGTAAAAATGCTTTACATTTCTAATTTAAAACTGTTTAGTTTAGTTTCTGATTAAATATTGATTAAAAGGTTGTCCCAACCCTGGCCGGTTTGGCTCAGCGGTTAGAGCATCGGCCTGCGGTCCGGAGAGACCCGGGTTCGGTTGCCGCTTAGGGCATGTACCTCGGTTGCAGTTTGTCCCCGGCCCTGGTTGGTCATGCAGGTGGCAGCCACTCGATGTGTCCCTTCACATCGATGTTTCCCTCTCTCTCTCTCTCTCCCTCCCACTCTATCTGTGCAAAAAACGGAAAAAAAAAAAAATGTCCTCGGGTGAGGATAAAAAAAAAAAAAAAAAAAAAAGGTTGTCCCAAAAGACATATGTACCTTTTTAGAAACCAATTTCTAGTATAAATGGAGACTTTTATAAGTAACTGTAAGTCTGGTTTAAAACACTAATGCAGCCCTGGCCAGTTTGGCTCAGTAGTTAGAGCGTTGGCCTGTGGACCAGAGAGAACCAGGTTCGGTTCCCACTAAGAACATCTACCTTGGTTGCAGTTTGTCCCTGGCCCCGGTTGGGGTCGTGTGGGCGGCAGCCAGTCGATGTGTCTCTCTCACATCGATGTTTCTCTCTCTCTCTTCCTCTTTCTCTCCCTCCCACACTATCTGGATAAATGCAAAAACGTCCTTGGGTGAGGATATAACAAACCAAAATAAATAAAATAAAACACTAATGCAGCCTGGCCAGTGTGGCTCTGTGGATTGAGCATCATCCCTTGGATTGAGAGGTCACGGTCTCATTCCAGGTCAGATTCCCAGTCAGATTCTGGGTCAGGGCACATGCCTGGGTTTTGGGCTCAATCCCCAGTGGGGGGCATACAGGAGGCAGCTGTTCAATCTCACATCGATGTTTGTATCTCACTCTCGCTCTCTCTCTAAAAGATTAATAAAGAAAAAAAATTAAACAAAAAAAGAAGTTGAAACATTCAAATCAATAGGTCTCTGTATAGCAAAGAATGAAAAATATTAATAAAATATTTGCACACAAGCATATTGCAGCCATAAAGTCTTATTGGAAAAATAATTTCAAAGAAATCTTTGACCTTATAAAACAAATGCCAAAGATCAGGCTGTAAAGGGCCTATTTCAAAATCCCGAAGGGCAGAATTTGACTCAATAACAAATGGTGCTATGAGAGAAGCACCAACTAATGGTATTTCCCACTAAAAGCTGTACTGTTATTTAGAATTAGACTGTAATGCCCTAGATTCGTTTTATTTTGGGAGGTTTGATGCTGTAGCAGTAAAGGAATCCATGATTTTTCAACTAAAGAAATACACATACTTTCTTCTGGGTCCTCACTGGCTAGGATGCTGCTGGAAATTTCCTGTACAGCAGTTCGTGACTCAGTTGTAGAGTGATGAGGTCCCAGGCGACTGTCCCTCTGGGCTTCCCACTCTTCACTGAAGCCACCATCATCACTTTCTGTCACTTGTGACTCACTCTCTGTGCCTTCAAGAAAAAGTAAAAATCACAACTGTAATATTCAGAAAGATTTCTTAATATCTTTGAGAAAATTACATGGAAACAGTAACTACTTAATTGTCATTGAAACTAGGTTAGCTGGCTCTTAAACCATAAAATATGGGCTGCAGCAGGGCTTGTTGAATGCTTTATTCAATAGCCATTTCTCCCCTTATTTCTGAGGGCAGTCTTGATTTGTTTAGGTTTTCACCTTTTGCCCACTCAGGTGGTAAATCCTAATCAATCCAAGCCCATCACTGCTCTTCCCAATGAAAGCTCTGAGGCTGTGGGTTTCGTATAGTCAGTGTGTGGTGAGACAAAGTCTTCTGGGAATTTAGAGAACATTTTTCTCACTTTTTACTAACCACCCCTTTCTTCCCCTGGATGTTCTTATCTGGATATAATGCCTGGAACTATACCTGATATCTTGTTCTGTGCTATATCCTCAGTGCCTAGCAAAGTATCGGGCACACAGGTGCTCAATCAACATTTGTCAAAAGAATAAAATCTTGATGTGCCATCTAAACATTCTTACTCACATACATATAAATGTATATATGCATAAACAAACGATCTTTTAATTTTCTTTAGCTTAACATAGGTTAATACAATAACCAGACTTGTAGCAATTATTTCCAATATATTTCCTACTTCTCTAGTAGGTCTACTGTTGGTACAATGTCATCTTGTTCTGCCCCCATGTTCACTGCAGAATGAGCCTGATATCTTTGGGTCCCAAATAGGAATTCTCAGTTGAAAGTGTCCTCCTAAGTTACCCAAAAGCTAAAAGAGCAGTTTTCTTGGCTCTATAAAACCTAACCTCTTCCTTTCCTGACAAACAGCAACTCAGTTAAGGCCCTTTTCATGTCCATCGCCAACCTTTATTCTGCCTCTGTTTTTCAGCTTCCTTATAAGGTTAGCCCTTTGCTTTTCTTAAAAAAAAAGTTCCTTGCCCTGGCCGGTTTGGTTCAGCGGTTAGAGCGTCGGCCTGCGGTCCTGAGAGATCTGGGTTCGGTTCCCGCTAAGGGCGCGTACCTCGGTTGCAGTTTGTCCCCGGCCCTGGTCGGTTGTGCGGGTGGCAGCCACTCGATGTGTTCCTTTCACATCGATGTTTCTCTCTCTCTCTCTGTTCCTCTCTCTCCCTCCCACTCTACCTGAACAAAAAATGGAAAAATGTCCTCGGGTGAGGATAAAAATAAAAAAAATAAATAAATAAAAATTAAAATTAAAAAAAAGTTCCTTTTTTCTTGACTGTTAATATTGTTTTGTTATTCAACTCTTTCTAATAACAACTCCTAACTTATGTTCTCCTTAACATCTTCTATAGTATGCATACTTGAGCCTTTTAATCTCCCCTCCTAGGTCATCAACATTATTCTCCTCCAGAAAGTCACATCCACCTGGAATATTTTATCTTCTCAGTATAAACATTATCACATCTAAAATAAAATTATTTTTAAGTTACTCTGGCCTTGTCAGATAAGAGATTTACATTTTTAACATCTGGAGGAAAAGCCTACTTTTTCTTTTTAAAATCAGCCTCAACTTGAAACTTTCCATACTGATATTAATGGTATTCAATGGCAGAAATTCTTAAGCTAGGGCGGTCTTGGCAGTACTGTTGGGTTTTGCGCATCTGAACTCCTTAATATTTATCTGTATTTACTGGGTATTACCACAGCTTTCAAGAGATTCTCAAAAAATTCTATGACCAAAAAAAGAGGTTAAAATCATCACTTTATATAACTCAGTGTTAGCCTGTAAGATGACAATAACCCTAAAAATATTAGGAAATTACCATATAAAAGTCACCTACTTTGTGCATTATAATTGGAGTTTTTGGATACCTTCCTTTGGGCTTCTGGATCTCCTTTTGCCATATTCACCAACCACACCATTGTCGCTGTTAAGAAAGACAAAATTCCAAGTAAGCACTGGAAATACAGAAGGAAAAGTGTACAAATAGATAGCTGGCCATTAGTTCTCTACACAAATCACCAATCTCCTTAATGTCCCCTTAAGAATACTTAATAGGCCCATTCGGTGTGGCTCAGTGGTTGAGGGTTGAACCATACATCAAGAGGACGCTGGTTCAATACCTGGTCAGGGCACATGCCCAGGTTGATGGCCCAATCCTCAGTGGGGGGGCCTATCGATGTTCTCTCTCATCAATGTTTTTATCTCTCTCTCCCTCTCCCTCCTCTCTCTAAAATCAATAAAGAAAAAAAATTCTTAAAAAAAAAAAAAAGAATTCTTGCCCTGTCCGGTTTGGCTCAGCAGTTAGAGCACTGGCCTGCGGTCTGGAGAGACCTGGGTTTGGTTCCCGCTAAGGGCACGTACCTCGGTTGCAGTTTGTCTCTGGCCCTGGTTGGGTCATGTGGGTGGCAACCACTCGATGTGTCCCTTTCATGTCGATGTTTCTCTCTCTCTCTCTCCCTCCCACTCTATCTGAACAAACTATCAAAAAAAAAAAGAATTCTTAATAGCCCTGGCCAGTTTGGTCAGTGGTTAGAGCATCGGCCCATGGACCAAAGAGTCACAAGCTTGATTCCAGCCAAGGGCATATACCTCAGTTGCAGTTCATCCCTGGCCCTGGTTGGGGTCATGCAGGAGGCAACCAGTTGATGTGTTTCTCTCACATCAAAATTTCTCTCTCTCTCTCTCTCTCTCCCTCCCTCCCTTCCTTCCACTCTATCTAAAGATAAATGGAAAAATATCCTCAGGTGAGGATTAAAAACAAAAGAATCCTTAACAATCAGAAGTAAATGCATATTAAAAACCACAAAAGGGCCCGGGCAGTGTGGCTCAATGGATTGAGCATCATCCCATGGACTCAAGAGGTCCTGGTCTGATTCCCAGTCAGAGCAAGTGCCCAGACTTCGGGCTAGATCCCCCGTGGGGGCTGTGCAGGAGGCAGCTAACTGATGTTTCTCACACCGATATTTCTATTTCTCTCTTCTTTCCTCTCTAAAAAAAAAAATCAATAAAAACATATTTTAAAAAAACAAAACAAAAACACAAAAGGTTCTCTTTGATTTTGGCATATAAAAGCGTCTGGCACTGGGGTGGCTCAGTTGGTTGGACATCATCCTGTGCACTGAGAAGTCACTGGTTCAATTCCAGGTCAGGGCACAGGCTCGGGTTGTGGACTTGATACCTGGTAGGGGGTGTGCAGGAGTTAGCCAATACATGTTTCACTCTCACTCTTTCTCTCCCTCTAAAATCAATTTTAAAAATCTTAAAACAAAATTTTTTTTTTTTTTTTATCCTCACCCGAGGACATTTTTCCATTTTTTGTTCAGGTAGAGTGGGAGGGAGAGAGAGGAACAGAGAGAGAGAGAGAGAGACATCGATGTGAAAGGAACACATCGAGTGGCTGCCACCCGCACAACCGACCAGGGCCGGGGACAAACTGCAACCGAGGTACGCGCCCTTAGCAGGAACTGAACCCGAGTCTCTCAGGACTGCAGGCCGACGCTCTAACTGCTGAGCCAAACCGGCCAGGGCAAAACAAAAATTTTGAAACCGAATGTTTATTGTAGCTTTAAAACTGCAACTGCTATTGTAAAACTGTTCATCATCATTTATAGTCCCTGAAAAGTAACCAAGAGGAAAACTGTTCAGGCTTACAAGATTCCACTGAGATAATAGCTAGACTAGTTGAATATCCTCAGTGTGAATTCAAAGATAAAAATTACTTCTTGGGCCCTGGCCAGTTTTGCTCAGGGTTAGAGCATGGGCCCGTGGGCTGAAGGGTCACGGGTTTGTTTGATTCTTGGTCAAGGGCACATACCTGGATTGCAGGTTCTCTCCCTGGCCCTGGTTAGGTCATGCAGGAGGCAACCCACTGACGTGTGTCTCTCTCACATCGGTATTTCCCTCTCCCTCCCTCCCCCACTTCAACTCTATCTAAAAATCAATGGAAAAATATCCTCAGGTGAGGATTAACAATAACAAAAAATTTTTTGTTTAAATATTGCATATTAAAAACTCTCTTGAGCCCATGTCAGGTAAAAGATAATAATATGCAAGGAAACAGAGATCTGCAGAAACTCCATTAAAATGCTATGCATTTAAGCCCAGCTGGTATGAATCAGTTGGTTGAGCTTTGGCTCACGCACTAGGAGGTCAATGGTTCAATTCCAGATCAGGGCCATGCCCGGGTTGTGGGCTTGATTCCCAGTAAAGGGCATGCAGGAAGTAGCCAATCAATGCTTCTCTCTCATCAATGTTTCTATCTCTCTCCTTTTCCATTCCTTTCTCTGAAATTGATAAGAACATTACAAATAAATAAATAAATAAATAAATGCTATGCATTTAAGATGAGACAAAGTACCATGATAATGACCATAGTTATATGTGTCTCAGTTCCTATAAATTCTAAGATGTTTACTAATTGAACACCATTCTGAAATACTTACAGGAGTAAATGAGAGCTGGAAAGAGAGTTTCATTTCTCTCCTGAGCTGTTTCAACCAACATACGAAGTGGGCCTTTTGGACACAACACAGCCACTAAATCTAGAAAGAGAAAAATAGAAAAGACATCTGAAAAAAATGTATTGGCTAAATTTTTAAACGGGTATGTTAGAGAGAAATTAACCAATGGAAACAATTTAAAAAACATTTTTTTTTATCCTCATCTGAGGACATTTTGCCATTTTTTGTTCAGGTAGAGTGGGAGGGAGAGAGAGAGAAACATCGACGTGAAAGGGACACATCAAGTGGCTGCCATCCGCATGACCAACCAGGGCCGAGAACAAACCACAATCAAGGTACGTGCCCTTGGTGGGAACTGAACCCGGGTCTCTCGGGACTGCAGGCCGACGCTCCAACCGCTGAGCCAAACTGGCCAGGGCTAAAAAAATTTTTAACACAAAAAGATGTTGAATGACCCTGGCCAGTGTGGCTCAATTGGTTGGGCACTGTCCCATACACCAAAAGGTGTCTGGTTTGATTCCTGGTCAGGGCACATGCCCAGGTTTGGGGCTCGATCCCAGTAGGGGGCATGTAGGAGGCAGCCAATTGATGTTATACTCTCACTTTGATGTTTCTCTCTCCCTCTTCCTTCCTCTCCATCTAAAAATCAAGAAACCATTTAAAATAAAGATATTGAATGCATATGGAATAAATAGCAGGTAAACTGATTGGGGGGGCAACCTAAACAAAATACAAAAATTTTTTCTATGAAAAAGATACTATAGTTAGTTAATTATTTACTGAAGAGCTAGTGAATATAACCATTATCATTTTCATAAGTCAAGATTACTGGAAGAGGAAGAAAAATACACCAGTGAGGTATCTCTGTGATAAACAAAATGTCAATCTTGGGTTTTACCATATACTGAAATCACAGCCAAGATGAGCCACGCAGTCCATTCTGGAAGGTACTTGATAAATACCAAGGCCATGAGCGCACTGATCATAATCAGATATGCCTGCTGGAGTCTCAGAGGACCTTTCCAATGAATGGCAATCATTCCCACCACACCAAAATTCCAGATCAGGAGTGCAATAGTAATGTAGTCCACAGCAACATTATAGGTTTTAAACACTTCCCTGAAAAAAATTAAACAGATAAAAAAGATTTATGTATAATAATCTTCATCAAAACACTATTTAGAACTATGGTTCCCAAACATTAGATATTCATATCTAACCTTTATATTTTTATTATATCTTATATCAACTGTGCTATTATTTAACACTTTTCTTTAAATTACATGCCTTTTGCCCTGGCCGGTTTGGCTCAGCGGTTGGAGCATTGGCCTGTGGACCAGAGAGTCCTGGGTTTGGTTCCCACTAGGGGCACATACCGCGCCCCCCCAAATAAATAAATAATAAATAAATTACTTCACTTTTTCCAAGTTATTTTAACAGAAAACAATATCATTCATATAAATGGGAAGCCTGTAGCATAGAATATAGCTGTAAAAATAAGTACAAAAACTAAAATAGGCCATATACCACCTAAAGTACCATTCTAAAGTTTGGGAAACCCTCATTTAAAATATCTGAAATAGGTCCCGGCCAGTTTGGCTCAGCAGTTAGAGCATCAGCCTGCAGACCAAAGGGACGCAGGTTTGATTCCTGGTCAAGAGTACATACCTGAGTTACAGGTTTGATCCCCAGCCCCAGTTGGGGTTGTGCGGGAGGCAACCAATCAATGTGTCTCTCTCACATCGATGTTTCCCTCTCTCCCTCCCTCCCTCCCTTCCACTCTATCTAAAAATCTATGGAAAAATATCCTCAGGTAAGGATTAACAAAAAATAAAAAATAATAAAATAAAATATCTGAAAAGTAAAATAAAATAAAATATCTGGAAAAAATTAAGCATGCACAAGAAATTTTATAGCTAAGATGTATGATGTTATTTTCATTAAATAAAATTTAGTGCAGCCATTACTTTCAACAATAAAGATAAATTAAAACATACACACACACACACAGAATATAAACATGACACAGTTGCCTGAAAAAAAAAATGATGTCATTTATCCAATAGGGTGTGAGTAGTGAGTAGGGAGAACAACATATCAATATATAACTTCTGAAATGATGTAGGAGTTATCTTTAGATGATGGGAGTCTGGTCATTTTTTTTTTACTACTTTTCTCTTTATAATCTTGTGAAATGTATCTTTTTTTTTTTTTACAATGAATGTTTTGTCTTTTTAAACAATTTTTATTTTAGAGAGTGCGAGAGAGAAACATTGACTTGTTGCTCCCCTTGTTTATGATTTCATTGGTTGATTCTTGTATGTGCTCTGAGTGGGGATTGAACTTGCAACCTTGGCGTATCAGGACAATGCTCTAACCAACTGAGCTACCTGGTCAGGGCCATTTTCATAATGAAGGGAAATACTATTTTAGTTTTTGGGGAAAACATTCCATCACCTAAAAATAACAAGATTGCCCTGGCTGGTTTGGCTCAGCAATAGAACGTTGGCCTCTGGACCAATGAGTCGCAAGATCAATTCCGGCCAAGGGCAGTGACCTTGGTTGTAGTTCGTCCCCAGCCCTGGTGGGGTCGTGCAGGAGGTAACCAGTCGATGTGTCCCTCTCAACTCAATGCTTCTCTATCCCTTTCTCTCCCTCTCTCTCCTTCCCATTCTATCTGAAGATAAACAGAAAAATAGCCTCAGGTGAGGATTTTAAAAATAAATAAATAAAAAGATTACATGCATGAAAGATGCCCTGGGTAACTGAGAAGAAAGCACTCATTTATGTATTTATTTATTATTATTTTTTAATCTTCACCCGAAGATATTTTTCTATTTATCTTCAGATAGAGTGGGAGGGAAAGAAAGGGAGAAACATCTATGTGAGAGGGACACATCGATTGGTTGCCTCCTGCACAACCCCAACCAGGGCCGGGGTAAACCACAACCAAGGTACGTGCCCTTGGCTGAAATCGAACCTGTGACTCATTGGTCCGCGGGCCAATGCTTTACTGCTGAGCCAAACCGGCCAGGGTGAAAGCATTCATTTACTTAAGCACAAACTTTGGGTGCCAGGGCTATCTAGAAAGGTGATTTTTTCATTTTGAAATCTCAAGAAAAAATGTTGAAATTTCTGGACAATGTAGCTATTTTTATTAAGTATTTCAGATATCCTAGAACTCAAACAAAACAAAACAAAAACCCATCTCTGGATGGTGTGGCTCAGTTGGTTGAGTGTTGTCCCATGCACCGAGAGGTTCCAGTTCGACCAGGTCAAGGCACATGGTTCCCAGTCAGGGCACTTGCATGGGTTGCAGGCTCGATCCCCAGTAGAGGGCATGTAGGAGGCAGCTGGTCTATATTCTTTCTCTCTCTTTCTCCCTCTCTCCCCCTTCATGACTCTCTAAAATCAATAAAAACATATTTTTTAAAAACCTGCAAATTATAATTGATCTTTTGCTAGGTAATACAAGCATAACATAAAATTCACAACATATACTATGAAAAGTACATTTTTCTCTTAACTTTGTCCCATAGTTCCCCTCTCCAAAGGAAAGCACTATTATTCATTTCTTGTGTAACCTTTCAGAGAGTGTCTATCCATATATATATATTTTTTATTAGACACAAATGATAACATATTATACACTGTGTTTTTTTTTTTTAATCCTCACCCAAGGACATTTTTCCATATTTTGTTCAGGTAGGGTGGGAGGAAGAGAGAGAGAGAGAAAAACGACGTGAAAGGGACACATCGAGTGGTTGCCTCCTGCACGACCCAACCAGGAACCAGGGCCGGGGACAAACTGCAACCGAGGTACGCGCCCTTAGTGGCAACCGAACCAGGGTCTCTCTGGACCGCAGGCGGATGCTCTAACCACTGAACCAAACCAGCTAGGGCTATACACTGTTTTTTACCAAGCTTCTTCCTCCTAACAATACTAATGAAGAACTTTCCACATTAGTATACTAGAGCTGTCTCACTCTTTTAATGGCTTTATTGTATGGATGTATCATAATTTATTTTAACTAGTTTTCTATTGATGGATATTTAGACTAATTCCATTCTTTTGCCATTCAAACAATGTTACAGTTATTATCTCTATAAATTATTAGGTTCAGGACATATGCACTGAAAATTTTAATGGATATGCCAAACTGCTCTTAAAAGCTATACACTAATGTGTGCTTGTTTACTTCCCTGCACCTTTATCAGATTAGAATATTTATCCAACTATACTTAGTGATTCTAATTGTCTTTTGATTAGTTCTGAAACCAAGTAAATGATCATTTTATCTCCAAATATTGATAACTTAGCCTTCTTTTACAAATTGTATAGCTCTTATTTTTCATTTTTCTCTCTCATGTCACTGTTTTCACTATGCCCTAGAGAACTATGACTTATATTGAAATTTTCCAGTAATGAACTAGTCTTCCATTCTGCAAACAAATTCCCCTTGGTCATAATGTATTATTCCTTCAGTGTGTTTCTGAATCTAATTTTTAAATATTTAATTATTCCTTTGGTATCAATAAATAGGATTGGTCTACAGTTTTCTTTTTCTTGATAATTTATAGGATTTTTATATCAATGCTATACTGACTTCGTAAAATGATTCTAGAAGCTTTTCTTCTTTTTCTATGTTTTGGAACAGGTAAAATACTATTAGAATTTTCCACTCCTTAAAGATTTAACATAGCCCGGCTGTTGTGGCTCAGTAGATTGAGCTTCGTCCCATGGACTGAGAAGTCCCAGTTAGATTCCCAGTCAGGGCATGTAGGGGGTGTGCAGGAGGCAGTGGATGAATGTTTCTCTCCCTAACATAGATGCTTCTATCTCTCTCTCCCTTCCTCTCTCTAAATAAATCAATAAAAAAAAAGGTTTAATATAAAACCATTTGTGCCTGGTACTGTTACTGTTACTGTTAGAGGTGGTAGGATGGGAATCTCTTCAACAACTTTCTGGGTTTTTTTTTCTTTGCCTCCATGTAGATTTTCTACTGCTTAAGTGGTCAGTTCTGATAATTTTCTTCTAGAAAACCATCAATTTCTTATTGATGTTCACAATTGTTTCTTCTTTCAGTTATTATTCCCACTGCCTCTACCAAACTCTTCAATGTATATATTAATTTTTTTGTTGATTTTAAAGAGGAAGGGGTGGGGGAAGAAAGAGAAAGAGAGAGAAAACCACTGATCGACTGCCTCCCATAAATACCCCAACCTGGGATCGAACCCACAACCTAGGTATGTGCCCTGATCAGAAATGTAACCCACAACCTTTTGTTGGTGTAAGGGACAAAGCTCCAACCAACTGAGCCAATTTATGTATTAGTTTTATTGTTTATGTTTCTAATTTAAGAGCTAGTCCAATGATTTAAACTTTACACTTTATTCTGTCCTGGGGCTGAGAAAGGCCAGGCTGGCAAATCTCCAAGCCTCTCTATTCAACAGAGTAGTTTTACTTTTTCTTATTTTATATGTGAAATTTTCAAATAAGATTTGAAAGGGAAAAAAAACCCACTGATAAAACAATATAAAAATTTGAAAATCATGTATATACTTTCTTGAAATCCTTTCTTAACATTCTGATTTATAGATTTCTATTATGAATAAATAATATAAAAAATTATTTACCAAAAAAATTAAATAAATTCTTCACTAAAAAAGACTTACAGCACTGGTTAGTTTGGCTCAGTGGTTAGTGTGTTGGTCTGGAGATTGACGGGTTGCAGGCTTGATGCCTGGCTATAGTCAAGGTCGTGTAGGAGGCAACCAATCAATGTGTCTCTCTCACATCTATGTTTCTCCCTCTTTCTCTCTCTCCTGCCCTTCCACTCTATCTAAAAAAAAAAAAAAAGATTTACAATTGATTCTAGTCTTGAGTTCTTTCAGTTCTACTTATTATAAGCAAGGTTCAACAAAAGAATATCTCTATGTTATATTAACTTGTCTTATATATAGCAAGTATGACTTATATATGAAAACAATTATAATTTAAGAGTAATTTGTCAATTAAGGGCATGGCTTTAAGTGATGGTTAGAGACCACTAACAGTTACTTTCTGAAAAATAGATCAAATATTTCACCACTTACCCCAAATAAATGAATGAGAAAAAGAACAGCAACAACAGAGATGAAATAATAAGCCAGGCATGGATGACCTAGAAAAGAAAGAATTTTAATATAAACAACAGATCCCATGACCCTAAAATTACAGATTTCCTATTTCAAAAATAGTATATTATTTCTGTGTATGTTATTATTTTCAAATGGCTGAACACACATGACTTTAGGTTCAGTGTATTCTTATATAGAACTCTTTGGGACTACACAACTCATAATAGTAAACAGAAATTTCAGCAAGCCCTCGCTGGTCTGGCTCAGCAGTTAAGAGTTATGGCCCATGGACCAAAGACTCGCAGGTTCGATTCCCGTCAGAGCACATGGTTGCAGTTCGATCCCTGGCCCTGGTCGGGGTCATGTGGGAGGCAACCAATCGATGTGTCTCTCACATCAATGTCTCTCTCTCTCTCTCTCTCTCTCTCCTCCCTCCCCTCCCTATCTAAAGATAAATGGCTGGTGTGGCTCAGTGGTTGAACATCCACCAAGAGGTTGCCAGTTTGATTCCCAATCAGAGCACAAGACCAGGTTGTGGGCCCAATCCCCAGTGGGAGCATGCAGGAGGCAGCCAATCGATGTTCTCTCTCATCGATGTTTCTCTCTCTCCTTCTCACTTTCTGTCTAAAATCAATAAAGGAAAAAAAAGGAAATTCTCGCCCTGACCAGTTTGGCTTAGCAGTTAGCATCAGCCCAAGGACCAGAGAATCTTGAGTTTCATTCTTGGCCAAGGGCATGTACCTAGATTGCAGGTTCGATCCCTGGCCCTGGTTAGGGTCATGCAGGAGGCAACTAATTGATGTGTCTCCCTCACATCAATGTTTCTCCCTCCCCTCCTTCCACTCTATTTAAAAATGAATGGAGCCCTGGCCGGTTTGGCTCAGCGGTTAGAGCGTCCGCCTGCGGTCCGGAGAGACCCAGGTTCGGTTCCCGCTAAGGGCACGTACCTCGGTTGCAGTTTGTGCCCGGCCCTGGTTGGTCGTGCGGGTGGCAGCCACTCAATGCGTCCCTTTCACATCGATGTTTCCCTCTCTCTCTCTTCCTCTCTCTCCCTCCCACTCTGTACAAAAAATGGAAAAATGTCCTCGGATGAGGATAAAAAAAAAAAAAATCAATGGAAAAATATCCTCAGGTGAGGATTAACAACAAAAAATAAGTAAATAAATAAAAAAAATAGACATAACACTGCCCTAACCAGGTGGCTTAGCTGGTGGAGAGTTGTCCTGTGCACCTAAAGGTTGCGAGTTCAATTCCCAGTCAGGGCACATACCTAGATTGCGGGCTCTATCCCTAGTCCAGGCATGTACAGGAGACAACCAATTGATGCTTCTCTTTCACATTGACATCTCTCTCTCTCCCTTCCCCTCTCTCTAAAAATCAATAAAAATATTCTCGGGCAAGGAATAAAAAACAATAGAAATAAAATTTAAAAAATAAAAAAACAGCATTTTTCTGAATACAAAAGTAACATGTGCAGCCCTGGCCAGTTTGGCTCAGCAGTTAAGAGTGTTGGCCCGCAGACCAATGAGCCTCAGGTTCGATTCTGGTCAAGGGCATGTACCTTGTCCCTGGCCCTGGTCAGGTTGTGCGGGAGGCAACCAGTAGATACACCTCTCTCACATCCATGCCCCTCCCCCACCTCCCTCCCACTCTATCTGATGATAAATAGAAAAATATCCTCAGGTGAGGATTAAAAACAAAAAGTAATACATGCATATAACATTTAGAAAATACAAAAACACTAAAAAGAAAAACAATTCCCACTGACCAATGACAACCAAAGTTAATATTATCATTCTCTTTTGGGACATCTTTTCTGTCTGCATGTGTAAAGACGTTTTTAACAAATTAGAATCAAGTAATAATACAGTTTTACATTCTGCTTTTTAACACTTAATTTTTGCTACAGATATATTCTGCCACCAAATATTTTTTGAAAATGATTTTTAAATGACAGTAAAAGTCTACTTAAATGAATGAACCCATAACTTAACCTTTCCCTATGCATGAATTTGTGTAGGTTTTTTTTCTGACTATATTTTTGCTAGGATGAATATTCCAGCATGCAAATATTTTTCTGTGTTTGTAACTCTTTGGGATAAATCATGGAAGCAAAATTACTGAATCAAAGTCTAAAAACATTTTATTTATTTTTATTAATTGTCACCTGAGGATATTTTTTCCACTGATTTTTAGAGAGAGTGGAAGGGAGAGAGAGAGAGAAACCTGGATGTGAGAGAGACGCATCTATTGGTTGCCTCCCAAATTCGCCCTGACCAGGTCATCTGGAGCATCAATTTTCAACCTTTTTCATCTCATGGCACACATAAACTAATTAATAAAATTCTGAGGCTGACCAAAAATATAGGTATAATCTTGATTCATTCACATCTGACGGCTATTGTGCTGCCTGTTGTCATTTTGTAATTTGACAATCTAAGGGAAAAGAGGTCAGTGTCCCTGCCTAAATAGGTATTAAATGTTTTTTTCGTTTGATCCTCACCCAAGGACATTTTTCCACTTTTTGCTCTGATAGAGTGGGAGGGAGAGACACAGAAACATCTACGTGAAAGGAACACATTGAGTGGCTGCCTCCTGCACGACCCAACCAGGCTAGGGACAAACTGCAACTGAGGTACGTGCCCTTAGCGGAAACTGAACCCGGGTCTCTCTGGACCACAGGCCAACGCTCTAACCACTGAGCCAAACCAGCCAGGGCAATGTTTTGTTTTTTAATAATATTTTTTTACTGATTTTAGAGAGAGGAAGGGAAAGGGAGAGAGACAGAAACATCGATGAGAGAGAACATTAATTAGTCGCCTCCTGCATGCCCCCCACTGGGGATGGGGCCCACAACCTGGGCAAGTGCCCTGACTGGGAACCGAACCGGTGATCTCTTGGTGCACGAGTCAACACTCAACCACTGGGCTACACCAACAGGCATTGCATGTTGTAAAAATTCTTGAAGGGAACCAATGTACCACAGCACACTGGTTAAAAATCACTGATCTAGAGGATTACTATCTGAGACTATTCCAGATGCTAAGAATGCAGAACTGATTTATCTCAAGAATGTACTTTTTACTCTAAGAACCATTCAGCTTTTCTTTCTTCTTTGGAACACTCTGGGTATTACCTAGTTATATTTCCCATTTGCAAATCATAATACCCTTTAATAAATCTTTACCATATATTTCTAATCAAAGCCACTTGATTCATTTATAATCAACTGACACTTTTTAAGGTTTGTTTGTTTTTTTGGGTTTCTTGTGCTTCTTAGAGACATTGTACAACCAACCACTGATATACCAAATCCACAGTGCTTATTTCCAAACAGGTTCTGGCAAGTTTACGAATTTCTGACTCAAATGTTCCTTGAGTCAAAGTAAACAACTTGTTTCTATAGAATTGGCTGTGCTTGCTGAGACTTGAACATTAAAAAGCAAAACAAAACAACATAAATGAATGCGTAAATGTGGAAATCTGGCTGAATATGAACCTTTTAGACGGTCTAAAATGAAGCAAAACTGCCCTGACCGGTTTGGCTCAGCGGTTAGAGCGTCGGCCCACGGACCAATGAGTCTCGGGTTCGATTCCAGTCAAGGACACGTACCTAGGTTTCAGTTCATCCCCCGCTCTGGTCAGAGTCGTGCGGGAGGCAGCCAGTTGATGTGTTTCTGTTGTTTTGTTTTTTTTTTAGAGGACATTTTCCCATTTTTTGTTCAGATAGAGTGGGAGGGAGAGAGGAACAGAGAGAGAAAAACATCAATGTGAAAGGGACACATCGAGTGGCTGCCTCCCGCACGACCCAACCAGGGCCGGGGACAAACTGCAACCGAGATACAAGCCCTTAGTGGGAATTGAACCCGGGTCTCTTAGGACCACAGACCGAAGCTTCAACTGCTGAACCAAACCGGCCAGGGCTGATGTATTTCTTTGACATCAATGTTTCTCTCTCTCTCTTTAAATAAATAGGAAAAATATTCTTGGGTGAGGATAAAATAAATAAAATGAAGTAGAACTGAAAGATACTTGAAACTGATAAATATACCAAGAATGATTCTAGGTAAAAAGGAGTAAAACCTTGCTCAGCCAGTGTGGCTCAGTGGATTGAGCATCGTCTCATGGACTGACAGAGAGGTCCCAGTTCGATTCCTGGTCAGGGCACGTGCCTGGGTTGAGGGCTCCATCCCCAGCCCAGTGGGGGATGTGCAGGAGGCAGCCAATCAATGTGTCACATTGACATTTCTATCCCTTTCCCTTCCTCTCTCTCCAAAAAAAAATCAATAAAAACATTTTTTTAAAAAGGAGCCCTGGCCGGTTTGGCTCAGCAGTTGGAGCGTTGGCCTGCGGATCAGAGAGTCCCGGGTTCAGTTCCCGCTAGGGGCACATACCAAAAAAAAAAAATTAAAAAAAAAAAAGGAGTAAAAGCTCATTTCACCCTGTTTTCTCCCACCAAATGCAACCCTAAAAGCTAGATAGAATGCATGCAGCTGCTAGTTGAGGACTCTGAAAAGCAGAGACGTAGGTTGGCTGGGGAATTAAAAGTATCAAGGAACCAACGGTGGGCTTACCACTATTTTGCCTCCAGTACTACCCCTCTCCACCAGTACTACCCTCCTCCACCAGCACTCAACACAACCCAGTGAGCATGAGCAGAGGTTACCTGGAGAAGCCCTCTAGTTGTGGCTAGAGGAGCAGGAAAGAGGTCTCCAAAAGAATGCAAAATCTGTTCCTGTTTTTTCCATTTTCTCCATTCTTTCACACTCAGCCCCCAAACAATCCTGAGGTGGTGGCAATGGGGGCAGCAAGAGGCTAAAATTTAGAGGGAGGGGAAGCTTCCCAACAGATTGGAGCTTTAGTTCCCAAAGAGTGAGGCAAATGGCCCTTGCTGTCCTCTTACCTCTTGGTCCCAATGTTGGGGAACTTTCTGAAACAGGGAAATCCAAAAGAACCAGAAAGTATCAGAAAGATCATAGAAAGGAAGAAGCTCAGAAAAGTAACCTCATAAAGCTGTTGTGAACTTGTGGGCCCAACCCCAAGATGTGCAGGTGGAAATATGACCCTAAACACACTAATAAAATGTGAATAAAAGCAGCATAGTCCTGGCCAGTGTTGCTCAGTGGATAGAGCCTCGGCCCATGCACCAAAGGGTCTCCTAGTTTTATATCTGGTTAAGGGCTGGCACCTGGGTTGCAGGTTCAATTCCTCACTCTGGTTGGGCGTGTTTGGGAGGCAACCAATTGATGTGTCTCTCACATCAATGTTTCTCTCTTTCTCTCCCCTGCGACCATCCTCTCTCAAAAAACCAATGGAGCCCTGGCCGATTTTGCTCAGCAGGTAGAGTGTCAGCCCATAGACTGAAGGGTCCGTGTTTGATTCTGGGTCAAAGGCATGTACCTGGGTTGCAGGTTCTATCCCCGGCCCTGTTTAAGATCATGTGAAAGGCAACCAATCAATGTGTCTCTTTAGCATCAATATTTTTTTTCCTTTCTCTCCCTTCCACTCTATCTAAAAATCAATGGAAAAATATCCTCAGTCCTGGCCAGTTTGGCTCAGTGGTTAGAGTGTTGGTCTGCGGTCCAGAGAGACCCGGGTTTGGTTCCCGTTAAGGGCACGTGCCTCTGTTTCGGTTTGTCCCCAGCCCTGGTTGGGTCGTGAGGGAGGCAGCCACTCGATGTGTCCCTTTCACATTGATGTTTCTCTCTTTCTCTCTCTTCCTCCTACTCTATCTGAATAAAAAATGGAAAAATGTCCACCGGTGAGGATAAAAAAAAAAAAAAGAAAAGAAAAATATCCTCAGGTGAGGATTAACAAAAGAATAAATAAATACATATCAATGGAAAAAATACCCTTGGGTGGGGATTAACAACAAAAAAAGTAGCAAATAATCCAGATAAAAGTCACAATGTGAGTCCAATAAATCAGAGAAATGAAACTGGCAGGTAAACACTTATACGTAGACAATATATATATATGGGGGAAAAAAGGATCAAGAAAAGTATTTAAGACGTGAGCACATTTAAACAGTGGAAGCATGCCCTGGCCGGTTTGGCTCAGTAGTTGGAGCACTGGCCTGCGGACCAGAGTCCTGGGTTTGGTTCTGGCTAGGGGCACGTACCAAAAAACAAAACAAAACAAAATAAACAGTGGAAGGACAACGCGTCCCATGTGGGTTTACATATTTGCTCTTTGGTTTTCAGTGTTGACCCGTCAAATCATAGACACATTTCCTCTTCAATATTCTCCACATGCTAATGTCAGACTACAGATGGTCATCACCTAGGTTAACATTTCCACCCACTCAACGTTCAACAAGCAAGGTTAACTTGTATAATTTTAGAGTTTATGAATGTTGAAATAATATTCAATCTTACTAGTAATCAACTAAATGCAAATTAAAATATTTTGTTTTGCCTATAAAAATTAGCAAAAAAAATTTTTTTTAGTTCAATGCTGGTAAAAGTGGGGTAGGACAATCTCATTCACTACTAGTGTCAAGTACAAATTAATGTTATCATTTTAATTATATAGATAATTTAACCCAGAAATTCTGTGTCTAGGATTTTACACAAATAATTTGAAAAATTGAGAAAGCTCTATGCATAAAAATTTTTATTTTAGAATACTGAAAACTGGTCCAGCTGCTGTGACTCAGTGGTTGAGTGTTGACCCATGCACCAAGAGGTCACTGGTTCGATTCCCGGTTAGGACACATGCCCAGGTTGTGGGCCCGATCCCCAGTGGGGGGCATGCAGGAGGCAGCCAATAGATGTTCTCTCTCACCGATGTTTCTCTCTCTCTCAAATCAATAAAGGAAAAAAAAATTAGAATACTGAAAACTGGCCCAGTTGGTATGCCTCAGTAGCTGAGTGTTGACCCATGCACCAAGAGGTCACTGGTTTGATTCCCAGTCAGGGCACATGCCCAGGTTGTGGGCCCAATCCCCAGTTAGGGGGCATGCAGAAGGTAGCCAGCTGATGTTCTCTCATTGATGTTTCTATCTCTCTCTCCCTCTCTTTCTAAAAACCAATAAAGAAAAATCAGAAAGAATAGTGAAAACTGGAAATAACTTAAATGTCCATCATGAGGGAAATTAGGGGAAGTACACTACAATGCATTCATTGCATTAAACATTATGTAGCCATTAGACATATTTTCTAATTATTTATAATATGGAAAAATGCTTACACCAAAGTAAAAGTAAAGAAAGGACACATACTGATTATACTTTATTTTACCTATGTTTAAAAATATACATAAATAAATACTAGAAGGAAATAGAATAGATAGACATTGGTATTTGGAAAGTTAATATTTATTTGAGAATAACCCTACTGCAGGAGAGTTGGTGAGGAAATGGACAGTTACCAATTTAGAAGTGGAAATGTTGCCAATAACCAATGAGTTTAAACCAGCACCTGAAGGTGGCTTTATTTTTCTGTATTCAAGTATGAAAATATGAATTTTTAAAGTTATATATTATTTTATGGGGAAAAGTATATCTTATAATGCTATTTGTGAATGAGGGAGTCCTGAAGGTCTTAAGATATATCCCTTTGGAATATCATAAATATACCACAAATCAAAATATTAAACCCATTTAGTTCATGATATAATATAAAAACATTTATTTTCCATTTATGCCTTCTTGTATCTTTTAAATGTTGCACAATGAAGGAGGGAACTAAGAATTAAATGAGTTCTAGAATATAAGACCTTTTTATTTATTTATTTATGTTTACATTTATCTTCAGATAGAGCAGGAGGGTGAGAGGGGGGAAGAGAGAGAGAGAAACATCGATGTGAGAGAGACACATCGACTGGTTGCCATCCACATGACCCCAACCAGGATTAGGGACAAACTGCAACCGAGGTGCGTGCCCTTAGCCGGAACCGAACCTGGGACTCTCTGGTCCACAGGCCAATGCTCTAACGGCTGAGCCAAACCGGGCAGGGCAAGACCTTTTTCTTTATTAGACCAAGTAAGGTATATGATAGAAAACCCAATCATAAAAAGAACATGATGGAAAGCAAAGCTCTGTCTCTCACATGTGCTCACCTTATAGCACCTGTATTTATATAGAGCCACCAGGAGAATAGTCATGACAACAATGACGCTGATCATGATAGCAGCATTCAGAATCGAGTGCAGGGCTCTCTGGCCCACAGTCTCGGTGTCTTCTGTGAATGGAGTATAGATTCTATAATAAAACAAAATACAAAAGCCCCAGGTAAGTGTTAATGGATAGATATCACAAACCATATACTCTCTCCAACACAAATTTTGTTTCCTTGATTCAACTGATATCTTATGTCACTTTTGTCCATCTCATTAATCTAGCTAAGAATTTCTAACCTAAGAAAAATAGCTGCTGTCTAAAACAGTTCCCCAAAAGTCTAAAATAAGTGCTCCAAAATCAAAGAAGATATTTAAAATATGGAATTGTGAACCAGACACTGGCTCCATCTAGTGGATGCTATATACTGAAATAATTATCTCATCAACTATTCTTTCTCTACAGCTTATTAGGATTTGCTACAGAACCAGATTCTGCCACATAAACTACCTAGAATACAAGTGTTTGTCAGAGGAAGGTAATATGGCTTGTAATTATTATCTTTCATCTTTAGAATGACCGCAACTGGTATTGTCTTGAGAGAATGTCACATATCCATCTTCTTGTTTCTCATTCACATAAAAACACTTTTATTCTAGGTGCCAATGTTCCCAACTAACAGACTTTATTTCTGACTCCCTTACAGTCAGGTGTGGCCATGAGACTAAGTAATGGCCAATGAGTTAAGCAGATATCTTGTGTAGAACTTCCAAGAAAGGAGTTAATTATGCTGAGAGATATGTCTTACGTCCTTTTCTCCCCTACTCCTTCCTGTTTCTTGCTGTCTGAATGAAGGCTGGGGCTCTAGCACCCATAACAACCTAGCGTATACACCCTGAAATAACCTACAGTGTAAAAGCTAAAGTAGAAACAAAGGAGCCCGAGTCCTTGATGAATGTGAAGTCACTATTCCAATGTGGTCTAACTACCTCTGTACTACTCCATGAAAGATAAACATGTGTATCATTTAAACTAGTTATATGCATGTATGCATAACCAATGGACATAGACAATAATGCTTGGTGTGGGGCGGGATAGGGAGGAGAGTGCCTGGGGGTGGGGGGCATCTGTAAAAAAAATAAATTAATAAAAAAAAATAAACTAGTTGTTTTGATTTTTCTATAATGGTGTCAGCAAACTTTCTGCAAAGGTCTAGAGAGTAAATATTTTAAATTTTGAGGGTGGTGTGGTTTCTGTTGCAACTACTCAACTCTGCCATTATCATATAAAAGAAGGCAGAGCCTAGCCAGTGTGGCTCAGTGCACTGAGCATAGTCCCATGAACTGAGAGGTCCCAGTTTGATTCCTGGTCAGGGCACATGCCCGGAGTTGCAGACTTGATCTCCAGTAGTGGGTGTGCAGGAGGCAGCCGATCCATGTTTCTCTCTCGTTGATGTTTCTCTTTCTCCCTCTCACTTCCTCTCTCTCTCAAATCAATAAAGGAAAAAAAAAGGGCAGAGACAATATATAAAAGAAGGGACATGGTTGTGTTCCAATAAAACTTTATTTATAATAACAGGTCACAGGCAGAGCTGATCTGTAGGCTATGACTTGCTAACCCCTGTTCTATAATATATATAGTCAAGCTAACTCTAACTTGTACAGAGAATATTTCTCAATCTCTTTTGGTTATTATCTCTATTATCTGTTCATCATTCACTGTCTTAGTCTTTCTTCCAAAGATTATTTGCTTGGCTTTCCAAACCCCACACAGTTTTTCAGACACTTGTCACTTTCAAATTCTAAAATCCACTTAAAACGTGTTTGAGCCCCACTACAGTACTAGAGACAGAACTAGGTGACATATGAATCAAGGCATTTTTCTTAGAGGCAAGGGGCTGACACCAATAGCACCAGAGAATCTACCCAATAATTCCCCAAAAGTCTAGAGAGTGCCAGCTTATATTAATTCTTCATCCTTTCTTTTAACAACTCTTTTTGCTGAGCTTTTACATACCTCATCCTGGAAACAAAATGCCCTAATAAAGACTTACAGTACAGAAGAAAACCAGGTGTTGAATAAATCATGTAAATAAATATGTATTTGCATTTTGTTACAAGTGAAAAAGAACAGGTTTCTAAAAGAAAAAATAAATAAAGAATAAATAATGTAAATAAATATATATTTGCATATTGTTACAAGTGAAAAAGAACACCAGAAAGTACCTAATTTTGTTAGGAGGATCAGAGACGTTATCTTTGGACTTAACATTTAAGCCAAGATCAGAAGGATGATAGGAATTACCAAGATCAGAAGGATGATAGGAATTATCAAGATCAGAAGTTTGATAGGAATTAATCCACCTAAATTAGAAAAAGAAAGAACATTCCAGGCAAAGAACAATGGCCCTGAGATGGAAAAGATCACTATTCAATGCTTTACCTGCTCAATTACAATGAAATTCAGCCCTCTCTTAGTGACAGCATACAGGAAATATAACTCTATAACTTTCATTTTCTCTACCTAAAGCATCAAGTAATAAATAACCCCTCACTCTCTTAACTGTTTCTGGCTGGAAGAACTCTCTAGCTTTCATGCCTTCAAGGTAATGATGACATGCTATGAAGAAAAGCTACACTGACCTTGAGAATAAAAAAACAAAACATTCATACATACAACTGCCCATCCTTCCGGGTATAAAAGCTGACTGATTTGATGGTAGCCACCACTACCACCATACAGAGAGTCACGGGGACAAAGAGCATGATCACATGTTTGGCGCCATATTTCAGTGTCAGCTCCTCATCTTCTTCTTCATCTTGTTCCACCACCTGCAGTGTGTTACCCTGGGGTCCTCCATTGGATAATGGCTCAGGGTTGCCCCGCCTCCGCCTTTCGTTGCTTGGCTCATGCCGTTCTCTATTGTCATTCTAAAAGCACAAGAAAAACTTTTTCAGTAAGTCACTCTCAGTACAATCAAGGTATTCTATATAAAAACCAGAAAATGTAACAGTCAGACCTGAGATTACTTGAGTTCTAAAAACCTGAGGTAAGAAAGAACAAATTTATAAAAAGGGTACAGTTAAGGAATATAGGTTATCAAATTTACTAAAGGAACCCGGGACCTCCCTTTCACCTGGGCCTTGGCTTTCCTCGCTCTCTCCTTCCATTCCCAACCTAATTCAATTATACTCATACTTTGAGGTTTGGCTTAAAACTGATACTGGCATGAAAACTTTCTTTGCTGCAGCTTCAAGCAGAGAAATCTCAGCTTTTCCAAATTTATGAAGTGCTTTCTACCTGTGGTTTTATACAAGTTTTACAAGGAACTATCTATCTTACCTTCATTACTAATATGACTTAAAATCCTGTAGTGATGTACAAGGGATCTCTCTGTAATTACTTCTTACAAGTAAATCTATAATTATCTCAAGTATTCAATAAAAAAAATCTTTACTGCGAGAAATTAGGTCTTAAACAATTATGATGCCCCATTCCCACTGTGCCCTGTATAGAGTCAGGGGACCATAATACTTGATGAATGATGAAATGAAAGGAGAACCTTTCTTAGATTCTACTTTCCTCTGACTCTTAATCCAAACACCACTTTATTACTTGTATCCTTATCCTGGGTTTCTCCTTTCCTATTCTTCAAATTCAATTTCCTTTTTGTATCACTGTTCAAATCTAAAACTTAGTGTTTGTAAAGGATAGAATGAATCCCAAGAGCATTAACAACAACAATAAAAATAATAGGCCCGGCTGGTATGGCTCAGTGGTTGAGCCTCAACCCATGCACCAAGATGTCGCTAGTTCGATTCCCGGTCAGGGCACATGTACAGGTTGTGGGCCTGATCCCCAGGGCAGGGCAGGAGGCAGCCAATTGATTTTCTCTCTCATCGATGTCTCTCTCTCTCTCTATCTCCCTTCCTTTCTCTCCAAAATCAATAAATAAAAATTATTACTAAAATAAATAAAATAATAAAAATAATAGATAAGCCCTGTCTGGTTTGGCTCAGTGGCTGAACATCAACCCATGCACCAAGAAGTCGCTGGTCGATTCCCAGTCAGGGCACATGCCTGGTTTTGGGCTTAGTCCCCAGTGGGGGCTGTGCAGGAGGCAGCCGATCGATGTTTTTCACTCATCGATGTTTCTATTTTTCTCTCCCTCTCCTTTCCTCTCTTTCTCTAAAAATCAATAAAAACATATTAAAAAAAAAAAAATCATGTGAGAACATGCCATTCTTGTACCTCACTTTTTACCACATATATTACTATTACTATAGAGTATTACTATTATTCATTAAAAATACATTACAAAAAAATAAAAAATAAAAATACATAACACACTTCATTATAGCTTATAGTTATTACAATGTACCAAGGACTGATATGTGGTTTACACTGAATTCTCACCACTTTACAGGTAAGGAAACAGCCACAGCCTAGTGTTACACAGTGGGTCTAAACCCAGGTGTGCCTGACTACAGAAATCAAGTTCTTAACCACCTCAATTTGCTGTTCACAAGACCACATGAGAGCTCTTCACACTGAGCTGAGTTCTCTTTTACTTTTAATATATTCATCCCACAGATAATTATCAAAATTCTATATTCCAGGTATTCTTCTGTGGCAATACTGAAGTTAATAAGATCTAGATGCTGTCCTTAAGAAGTTCATAAGTTAGTTTTAATATAGAATAAGTATTATATTAATATATGAATAAAGTGCTACAGGACTACAATTCTGTGTAGTCAAAAAGGCAACATAAAATATATGATTCTTGAGCAGAAACTTCAAGAATGACTGTAAAGTAAATGGGCTCTAGGCAGAGACAACATGAACTTGGTGCAGACATGTGAAAATGATATGCGAGACAACCAGTGAGTAGTCCTGAGGTGGCTGGAGAACAGGGTCTGTCAGGGCTGGTGGAAGAAAAGGTTAAGAACAGGTTGTCAAGAACCTTGTTTGCCATGCCAAGGACTTTAGACTTGTCCTGTAGGCAATAAAAAGTCATAAAAACTGTCAATGTTCAGTAAGTGACACATCAGGTTGTTTTATTTGTAAGAAACTTGACTGAGTGGGGATGGAAAACAGGAGATGTATAAGACATATTTCAGAAGCAGAATTGACAAGGCTTTGTGAATGGTCAGGAAGATGTCAAGGATGACCCTGGAGGTTTCTAGCTTAAGAGAGTAGAAAGGTGATGATGACACTGATTGGGACTTGGAGGAAACACAACTAGATGAGCAGGCTGGAGGAGAGGGGAGATATTTTTGTTAGGGAGATAGGTAAATGTGAACTACCCACAACCAGATAGGAAAGTTCAAAGGCAAATTAATGAGAATTTCAAGCTCAGAAGAGAGTTGGGGGAAGTCAGTTTCTGTAACTATGGAAATGGATGAACTTTCAGGGAGAGAGTATAAAAGACAGAAAGTAGGAACAGTATGAACTTACTGGTTATTAATGTAATACAACAGCTGTGGAAGGAAAAATATTGAGCGAGATGACAGATGACAAACAAGGAAGAGGTGTGAATAACCACTAAGCTTAAGCAGCAGGTGACAGGAAAAAAAACAGCAAAGGAGATTAAAAATAGGGGAGAGAGAAGAAAACCCAGAAACCAATGTATATCACAGAAGTCAAAGGTGGAGCACATTTCAAAAAGGTGTCAATAGTCAGGTAGAATAACAGCCAAAAGCCACTGAAGTTGGTAGTGGGAAGTTCACCAACCTCTTCACACAAGTAAAACAATTAAGAGGGAAGTCAGATCATAAATCGTAATAAACTGAGGAATAAATGAGAATTGAGAAATTAAAGCAGTCATTCTTGCCCGGCTGGTGTGGCTCAGTGGTCGAGTGTTGTCCCATGCACCAAGAGGCTGCTGGTGTGATTCCTGGTCAGGGCACATACCTGGTTGCAGGCTCAATCCTCAGTGGTGGGTGTGCAGGAGGCAGCCGACAGATGTCTCTCTCATCAGTGTTTCTATCTCTCTCTCTCCCTCTCCCTCTAAAAATCAATTAAAACATTTAAAAATAAATAAAAGCAATCATTCTTTGAAGAAAAAATATGACAACAGAAGGGATTCAAATTTGAAATAGTTATTTTAGGGATGTTAGAGACTTGAGCATACTTCTCAGGTCAAGGTATAGAGTTAGAATTTGAGGAAGAACCAGTTTGGTTCAGCAGTTAGAGCGTCGGCCCTCGAACCAGAGAGTCCCGGGTTTGGTCCCCGCTAAGGGCACATTTCTCGGTTGCAGTTTGTCCCCGGCCTGGGTTGGGGTTGTGTGGGTGGTAACCACTTGATGGGTCTCTCTTATATCGATGTCCCCCCACCCCCACACTCTATTTGAAGATACATGCAAAAATGTCCTCAGGTGTGGATTAAAAAAACAAACAAAAGAATTTGAGGAAGAGATTGTCAATACAAACAGGGAGATAACTAATGGAACAAGGTAGAAGCGGAGAGGGACAATAGAAGAGAGAAGAGTTGGCTTTACAAGGGCATCTGAAGGCCAGGAAGTAATTTTAAGTTCATGGAGAAAATATTTATGAAGACTCGAATCTTATGAAGAATGGAAAGGAAATGATTCCAAAGCACAAAAGGTAGAAATATATACACTACTCACTAGGAAAGATAGTTTTTGCTGAGCACAAGTGACTAAAGTGACCAAAGTTCAGTAAGAAAGACATAGTTAAGAGGAAGATCTGGAAGGCAGAGGCAGAGACATAGTGTGATAGCTAGCTGCAGGGGTAGGAGAGATGAGGGAATTCACACTTCTGTTTTCTAAGCCATATGCTAAGGATGTTATTTTTGTGACTAATGTTTAGCAATACAATTATGATCAACTTAATTGGTCAATTAATGCACAAAATGAAAATACAATAACAACTCTCTTTATATGATATTTAATCATTTACAAAGCACTCTCACATATCTCAATCATTCCTTTCACATGTTGAGAGATTTTGGTAGGTGAATATTAAAGCAACTTGTCCAAAATCTCACAGCCAGAAATCAGGAGATGCAGAAGTCTAATTCAAGTTTCTTGTTTCAAAATCTGTGTTCTTTCAATGGCACTATGGCTGTCCCATTAGGCTACACAAACAGTGTAACTGAGTAAGTCTAGCAAGAAAGAGGCAATCATAACATGCTCATTCACCTTACTCAACTAGATGTTCTGGTTTGTAATTAACACTAGCCTACCCCACCCTACCCCACCCTACCCCACCCTCAGAAGCTGATATGGGAAACCAGAGCACTGTTTAACACACACATACACACACCCTTCCTCTTCATAGTACTTTGGATACTATTTTTCAAACTGACTATATGTTTTAATTTTTTTAAGGACAATTTATTTATATAAACAAGTAAAATATTCACATGGTTCTGAAATCTGAGTATAAAAAAGTCTCCCACTTAACTATCTACTTAGTTTCCTTATCTCCCAGGTTACCACTGTCATTGTTCTCTGCAAATTCTACCCAAGTTTCTTCATGTATGTACAAGCAAATATAAATATGTATTCTCATTCCCCCCCTTTACACAAATGGTAGTAGCCCAATAAAGGCATTGTCCTGCACTTTGCTTTCTTTGCTTAACTATCTCTCTTGAGGATTTTTTTATACATCAGTACACAAAAAACATCCTTATTCTATTTTTTTTAGATTATATGTAAATACACCATTTCTTTTTTTTAAAAAAACCTGTTTTTATTGATTTTAGAGAGAAAGGGAGAGGGGGAGAGTGAGAGAGAAACATTAATGAGAGAGAGAGAAACATCCACTGGCTGCCTCCTGCACACCCCCACCGGGGATTGAGCCCACAACCAGGGCATTTGCCCTGGCCAGGAATCAAATCAGTGACCTCTCAGTGCATGGGATGACAATCAATTCAGCCACACCACTCAGGGCAGAACATCCTTAT